GTGCTACCCTTAGATTGAACCTTAATTAAATGTTATGTATAGGAGTATTACATCAACAATCACTGTCTTTGATTTGTTGCTTTTTATAATTTCTGAGCTGTATCACAAAGCGACGTTTGATAAATTTAGGGTCGTCTTCCAGTGAAGTGGACAGCTTATGAGGCCTTGTTGTATGGAAAGTATACCACCAAAAGTGATGTGTACGTATTCCTGATCGTTACCCATATTTATAGTTATTACCTAATATATTATACTAAATTTGATATGAACATGAATTCTAGCCATTGCATTAAGTTTGTCTTTTGTCACCTTCGCTTCTTACGTTTGATTTTTTTGCAAGTAGATGGAGTTATGGAGTTGTCCTTTATGAGATCTTTACCATAGGTAACATCCGATGGACTTATACTAGACTCTTTGAAATTTATTTGAATTTAACTATGTATCCTGTTCAGTGAGACAAATGTAATGAGATCTGCAATGCAATATTATACATTATCCAGTGACTCAGGTCGGTGTTACAGTGAAGGTCGTTGTTTCGTCACATTTATATCTTATGGTTCCTCCAGGGGGTTCACCTTATCCAAGAATGGACGGAAGAAAAATTGCAAACTTGCTTCAAGAAGGATATAAGATGCCTAAACCACAACACGTCGATGAAGAATCAGTGTAAGTTTCCCGTTTTTCAAATTGTTCTCTTTCATTGCATAAGAAAACGTTCTTTCAATCTCAAACAGATCCTTTAAAAAATACCAGGTACCAGGTCATGATGAAATGCTGGAAAAATGACCCGGACGCAAGACCAACATTCATTGAATTGACAATTCAGCTTAAGGACATGGAAGCCCTGCACAAGGTAAGAATTTCAATCAACACCAAAGTTTCTTTACCTGTATGTGTGCTTGGCTTAGGCTCAGCTACATCTGGTTTCAACTTAACAGCATTTCATCTAGATGGCTTAATAATATGCACTCATAGTAGTAAACGGCGCCTCGCTCGGCCGAGACACTCGGATCCAGACCTCTACGGAATGACCAGAAAGGCCCCCTATAATATGCACTCATCTCTTTAATTTTAACGAAGTTTTGCATTGGATCTTCTTCTGTCATGTCACCGAAGCCAAAGTTCCACCAAAAACTGCGGAGAAGCGAAATAGGATGTTCCAACGACAAAGAAGTTTTTTTTTTATTATTTAAAAGATGATAAGATGATTGCAAAACACACAAAGACTCACAAAGAATAGCTAACAACGACACCAAAAAAATTTATCTCCTTAAATTTGCCTCGGTGTGAAGAGCTGCCAGCCTTTTAGGATAACTGCAGGTAAAGGAACAATATGCAATGCTGATTAATATATTTTTTTCTCCGCAGAAGCTGATCAATATGAATATGTACGACAAGCAGTTGTATGAAAACATCGAGGATTTAATAGTTTAGTTAGATATGCAAACAGTTAGTTAGATCGGCAAACAGTTTGAACGCTTTGCCCCAACAAGTTTCAGAGATTAGTCATATTCGGCTTACAAGCTTACTTGATAGAAAGAGCCATATTGTTTTAGGCTGGAACGTTGTAATTCAATTAATTTTATATTCGTTAAAGCTAAAAAGCTATTCTAAGTCTCGCTGTACCGATAAAGTATGCACTCATGTATCTCCTTAACATGTTTTAACATGTTTTAACATGTTAACAAACGCTTAAC